TTGGCTCGTTCTTACATAGTAGAGCATGTTCGCACATGCTTCAAATCTTTTGAAAAACTAAAAGATGTAAATTACATTTGTATGTATTCAAAATAAAAGGCACCGGTTGTACTGAATGTCAGCTTGCTTATTTTGCTCAAGATAAGGATTTATTACCTCCAAATGTTATGCAATATAGAAACGATGCCTTTAACCACACGCCGAGAGCTGTTTGCGATTGTCCTTTGGAACGATGGTTTCGGGAAACACTAACCTGTTAAACTATTCAGATAACGACGGAACTTGCGACCATAGTTGGCTAACGATGCTTTCGGGAAACGCACCCCAGGACGGGCACAAGTGACTTACAGGGCGGGCCAGACCCCCAATACCCGTCCATGGTGCCGGGACTTGCTCGATTCAAAGCGGTAAGCTTGTAATAATGTTTTTAATTCCAGTGGCACTGGTGGATTTCCACGGGAGATTAGAGCATGCCTTTGCGTCATTACGTCACATCTGTACATATAAAGGAGTCTCGGCTACTATATATTGCGTGTGAGGATGCTGGAGGTGGAGATTTATAGCCTTTTTTCACAGCACTTGATATAATTAAACCTATTAATTTGATGGTGGATCCAGAAAGGTTCACATGACAATCACCAGTGAACTACACATTCAGCCGATGTAAAATGGAAAAGACTTTGTTCGGACTTTGGAGGACTTTGTAGCTAACGCTACCGGAAAAAAAAGAGATTGCAACTGGACCCATGCGGAAACAAGGATACATATTGGAAGAACATCACATGTAGTAACGCAATGCTGACATTGTTAAAGGGCACCTATTATGGCATTTAAAATGTAACTAATATTGTTCTGGGAGTCCCCAACAGCAGTTTTACATGAATGCAATGACAAAAAACACTTTTGTTGTCTTATAATATGCATTTATTTTTACCTGATTTGCTCACCGACTCCCAAATGATTCGTACAACGACTCATTTTTCCAAACCACTCCTTTGTGTGACGCTAATCGGCGGTGATTGGTCAGATGACCCAGTCTGTTATTGTTTGTTAGTCCAACGCATAAACATATTGGTAAAACACTGCAGTACTACAAGACGCTTTATTATTTATGACAACTCCAATAACAGCGACAAACTTTCGAATATATTTAAAAAAAATTGACATTGGAGACCTAGAAGCTGCGCTGAGCGTAACACACACACACACACACAGACACGCACACACATACACTTTCCCTCCTCGCGCCCGACGCTACAAAACCCATAAAAGCAACAATTATTAATAATACTTACAGGTTGTGATTCGGAAGAGGAAGCTGGTCCATATACACTGGGTACTGAGACCTCCTTCAGGAACAACCGGCTTGCGAATCCACATTTGAATTCATTTATGTTTTTGAATGATTCATCATTAAAATGATGAGAACACAATCGGGGCTATACTGTTGTGGTATCGTTGCAAATATGAACTCTAACCATCGATTCTTCACATGCTCGTCCCTGGTAAATGAAAACAAAGTGGCTGAACTATCATTGCATTGTAGAACAGCGTTTTTTCGACATGATGCTATCATAGAAGATGCTATTTAGCTGAAGTATTTGTGTTCTATTATACTTCAAGTTTACACTTCCGTCTGCGCGCTCAGCAACTGGGCGCGGCCAATATCCATGTTTTGTATCTACATCACTACGAAACTGTCATGATTCTGCCATCATGTCCGTGGTTTCTCCTAGTATTGTGGCAGGATCATGACAGACCCATGTTTTGTGTGCAAGCGCATGGCCCGCTGTTTTGGCCATGTGCTTGTGTTGTCTCATTTCTTTACTCCGCCCCCTTGTTATCCTCGTCTCGTCATTATTGTCTAGTCAGTCTCACCTGTCCTTGTCATTAGTGTCTCCCTACATTATTCCCCTTGTGTTTGCTGTCCTTGGTCGGTTCATTGTTAATCCGTGTCAAGTTTGTGAGTACCTGTCAAGAGTATTTGTCCTGTTAATCTATTGCTCGTGTCAGTCGTTTATCTAGTTGTATTTTGTCAGTACCTTGTCTAGTAAGTCTTTATAGTCCTTGTCAGAGTCTTGTTTTGCCCCCTTGTGGGCTTTGTTTTCCCCTTTTTGTCTACAATAAACTATCTGTGATTGCATTCTGTCTGCGCCTGGGTTCATCCGTCATCCACATCATAACAGAATGAACCGACCAAAGCAGAACCCAGCAGACTGTTTGTCTTCACCTGGAGATCAGCAATTGGATCTTTTAGAAGATTGGTGGCTCAAGACCATTTCTGACTCGAGAGGGGGCAAGCTCCCAATTCCCCCTCAGGGTGAGCTGCTGTTGAAGGAGTACGCTGAAGTCGCTGAAAGGAGGAGGTTTTTCTTACCTGACATCCTCCTGAATCGCTACTTCATAGCTGGCCTCAACGTTTCCCCACCTCTGGCTGAACGTGAGAAACTGGTTCATCGCCCATTCCGGGACATGGTGGATTGTCTTTGTCTAGAGGAGCCGCAGGGTCCCTCCTTGTTGTCGCCACCAGCCAAGCTGCCTGTGATTCCGGAGGGTCGGGTCCTGGCTGTTGTTTCTCAAGGGGCACAGACCCACTCCACTTCTCCTGAGGTCGCATCTACTCCCGTTGATCTTCGTGGCAAACGAGGGAGACGTTCTTCGTGGGACTCTCCGTCGGAGTCATCCTCGACCGAATCGCCACTTCCTGAGACTGTCCTTCCGTCTCAGGTCACAGACCCCATTGAGCTTCTCCAACCAGTCAAAGGTCCGTCTATGATGTCCGTGCCACGGCCTAGGAAGAAGAGGAGGAGGAGGGGGGCCTCTTGTCTTTCATCTCCGCCGGTTCAGGACCCCGCTAATGACTCGTTTCAAAAACAATTCATTTCATAGACTCAGAGTCGACTCTCACTTTTGAAAGACAATAACTTTATATACGGTGCACTTTCAGATATAAATCTTTGCAGGATGTTTTCATTCCCTTAGAGCTTTATTCCACACTACATGAACAGTCATTTTCAAAAATCCATGATAGGGGCCCTTTAACATTAACAATTTGACAACTAAGTATAATTTGCATGGTTTTGCGTGATATGATAACATTGTTATCATATGTTAAGCGATTGTTAGATTTAATCAGCACAATTAACTGCAATTTCAGAGCCAGAACAAAGGTGAATGTTTCTTACTAGTTCAGAAAAAACAAAAAGTATAATCTGTGATTCTGATTGACAGTATCCACACCGGCGCGGTGACTGACAGCTGCACAGTCTCCTCAAACATTGTGTTCATCCACGCTGTGCCGTGTCGAGGGTGTTGAAGTACAACTCACGTAAAGATGATAATTTCACTAATGACTGCAATTGCAGATTTCGAACAGAGATGGCGACAAAGAGAAAAAAAAACTGTATACTGCAGCTTTACTAAATATTCACATTTCTCACTGATACAGCAGTAAGACAACAAGCCAGCTGCCTAGGTTTTCTGACACAACCCATGTAGGATGAAGGACCATTCTCATGCCTGTTTGAGTATTTAACCTGTCCACAGTGACTGCATTGTTCTGCATGCCAACAAAGGTTGCTGGAATCAAATAAATAATGCTCCACAGAAACTTATATATATCATTATAATATAAAATAATTATTACTTTACTTAGTATAACAGCAAGCTGTAGTTCCTGTTTTAAGCACAATTTCCTTCAGAGCTTCAGTGGGGCCTCCCTGTTAAGCTCACCCCCTCTCTGGTCACCTCCCCCTTCAGATGCCTCACAATGACCTCTTGACAGTTTCTATAAAGGAAAAACTGGGCCCAGGGCCAGAATTCTCCCCATGACCTCCTGCCATCTCACCGAAGAACATCATTTGGCCGTCTAAGAAAATGTTTGTTTGTTTTGGGAATGTCATTCATTAATCCAAAAACCCAATAATCATATGTAATAACAGAATGCAATTGATATCATTCAGGATTGTTTCTACATTCTTTTATGTTCATCTGTAAATAATTAGTGGTGTTTGCTAAGGCAAACATCAGTATTACTATTGGTTATTCTTAGGTTTAAGGGTCTTTAACCCCATAGCAATTCCCTGGCAAGCATGCTAAATGTAAAAGAAAGAAAGAAAAAAAAAAAAACAGTAAAATATTGTAAAAAAATAAAAAATAAAATAAATGTTAAAGTTCCGTTCTGTCAAAGTTGCTTATATGGTAAACACTTTTAATAGATTTAACAGGACATTTTAGGTAGATTTACAGTGAGAAAAAAAATGTTTTTTGGAAAACTATTTTATTAAAACAAATAAACATCTTTTAATTTAGATTGGAAAAATCCATAACCGATTTAATAATTATGTTTATTTTTAATTTTTGTTATCAGTTATGAAACATTCTGGTTTTATGTCACATGTTATTTAATTAATATTTATTGCATTATTTTAGTGTCATGTGTTGTACTCTTTTGCATTTGTATGCATGACACTGTGCACATTAATAGTGAATTACAATTGTATGTGCCCATTTTACACAATCAGTTAAAATATTTTCATCCACAGATTTGACTTTGAGATGAAAATTACTTTAAAAATGGCCCCAATTGGGATCTTCACAACACAAAATACACTTTTTAAATAATATAAAAAATATACAATATACTCATCATGTGTTTATTTTACCACGTGTATTATTGAGTTGGTTTTCATCTTGGTTTCATTCATGGTTTTCAAAACAGAGTGGTATGGTGTAATTTTATAACAGTTAATGATATACAGGTTTTTTGTTTTGTTTTGTTTTGTTTTGTTTTTACCATAAATTTAGGTTCAGTTCCCTAAAACCTAAAATGTTGCTACCATTTTTTTTTTTTTTTTTACGGTAAAGTTCTGGCAACCACAGCTGACATTTTTTATATTTGCTAAATTGTATTAAAGGGCAAAGAAAATGAAAACAATGTATGTGTGTGCTACCAAGTTTGAGACATGTTCTTGGTTTTCATCCTTTGCTTTTGTCCTTAGGTCCACCAGATGTAGAGCAGGCCTGCGAAGCGAGTGTCAGCACTTGGAGCCCAAATGCCGGCCTAGACTCGAGTAGTGTTGGCTCAGCGTCCTGCCCACCCCAAGGCTGTATGCTCCAGCTCGAGTTTGCCTATCCGCTAGCACCTGACTCCCTCATTGTTTGGGTCACCTTCTTCTCTCTGGAGGAGACTGGATTGCCTGCAATCCACGACATCCTTTTGCTGACCCTTAGTGGTAACAACATCTCGCTGGGTCCACAATATGCGTTCTGTGACACACCATTAACGCTGAAGCTAGATGTGAAGGAGGAGGTGTATGGGGTGCAGTTCTTCACCATGGAGCAGCACTTGGAAATCGACGCCACATTGCTCGCCTCAAAGCCAGACAATCCTTTGTGCCGGTCGTGTCATCCTCTTACCTATAGACTGATTCGCCAGCCACCGTTTACACACTCACCACATGGGCTGATCCTTCAGGAACCCACTCTGAAATACGTGGACAGGTAAGGAATAGGAGTGTGAATATGATACAGTGTTATTTTAGTAATAATTATATGCTATTATAGTTTTTATAAAACTTTTCAATTCAAGGTTCACCTTGGTTAACATGAACTAAGAATGAACAATTTTCCTTCAACATATTTTTTCATCTTAGTTAAAGTTTGGTGGTTGATTATGAATTCACTTTTCTAACTTTAGCTAGAGTGTAATGTTGCTGTTTGAGCATAAACAACATCTGCAAAGTTATGACGCTCAACGTTCAAAGCAAAGGGAGATATTTGCTTTTAAAGAAATTGCTTTATAAGGACTACACCAAACGGCTGGTATAGGGACTACACTACATTCCTCCCAGGTCGTGTTTTCATTTCAGTTTTCGATTTTATTTATTTAATTTCTAGTGTTTCAACTTGAGCTGAACCAAAATTAGAAATGTTGCCTTGAAAACTAACTGAAATAAGTTTTTTATCCTTCAAGTTTTTCAACCCACAAATGCAACCCAAATATATTATGAACATTTTATTAAACTCTCTGAAAATTGTAAATAACTACCTGAAAACTGTAAATCCTACGTCACATATAGATAACATGCATCAAAAAAAAATTACACCTTAGAAAAGTAAATTATAAAAAAACGATCAAGTGACACATTAGATCAACAATTGTTTGATGACCGCTCATCACTGGATTGTGCAATGAAAAACGCAATGACAACAGTCAAGAAACCCTTTCAGTCTTCTGTTCACAGAACAGAATAGAAAAGATTGTCTTCATTTCTTTTGGCTGCTGTTTATGACAGTGCTGCTTTGTTGCTGCATCGTGATCATCTTCCGCTTGTAGAATATAAAAGAAAATGTGCGCCATGAAGTAAATATTTACAATGTAAATATCAAATAAAGGTCTATCGAAAGGTGTATAAAAATTTATATTTTATGCATTACATCGCTGCATATCATTAGTCATTTGATTGATGTATTGATACAATTGCAATGGCAATCTTGGATGCATGAACTCTTAAAGGGGCGCTAAAAATGTTTCCTTATTTGTGTCAACATGACTGGCAACATAAACAAAAGATGATCACTTTTCAAGACATTTCTTGGAGCACTACGCATGGTTGCTTGCCATGTGTTGATGTGCTATGCCCTTGTAATATGGACATCTTAGGTACTTTGTGTGAGGTCTTCAGGCATAGCCTTTACTCCTTGGGCTTGGGGTTCAGGTCAGCTCAAAGAATTTCACAGCTAGCTTGTTGTCTTCTGAGAGATACATGCCGATGTGCCCACAGGCAGTTTAACTTCATGGGATACTCATAAATTCGCAGTGACCTCAGAACAGTTGGAGAGCGTTTAAAGAGCCTCTGACTCTTTGATGACAGCAGAAACAGGTCAACAGTTTCACAGGCTTACAGATAGATAGATAGATAGATAGATAGATAGATAGATAGATAGATAGATAGATAGATAGATAGATAGATAGATAGATAGATAGATAGATAGATAGATAGATAGATAGATAGATAGATAGATAGATAGATAGATAGATAGATAGATAGATAGATAGATAGATAGAAATGAATGGATGGATGCAGTATGCAATGGTATTTAACTGGAAAGACAGTTTGTTTGCTTTTCTCCAAACCTTTGTTGTGAATTAATTTGGGATACTTTCTTGAAATTTTTTAAATACTTGGCTTCTTAAAAGCTGTAAAAAATGCCTATTGAGCACCCATTATTTTTTTCTGGTAAACATGCCTCTTATTAACAATAATGAAGATTTTTGTCATTTAGTAGGCAGGCATTGTCTCTGTTTTCTTTTGTGCATCAATTGTGTTGGCCTTTTTTTCTTCTTTGTTTCTGAAGTCTGGGGTCTCCAACAGAACAAGACCACACCTCAGTCGGCAGGCTGCCAATAATGTACATTAGCTTTCACAAAAAATCAAATCAGTGCATATAAACAAGACCCAACGTGAACCCGCTGAACTTCACTGTCCTAACTCTGGGCTGTTTTGGGTGTCTTTTCTTTTTCCAAAAAGTTGTCTGACAAGTGAAACTACAGTTAATACAGTGACAGCTGCTGCAGCAGTACATTAGGAAAAGACGTGAGGTCTTTTCATCTTAACAAATAAATATCTAGATATATAATATTTAGAATAGAAAAGAGTCTTAACAAATCATTGCAGAATTAAAAAGTATTATTTATACTGACATATCGAAACATTAAAGCTGTTTAGATTGTAGTAACACAGTCCAAGGTGTGTTAGATCAGATACTGTTTTTTTTTGTTGTTGTTTTTTTGTGAAAAGGTTTGTTTTATATATTAATGCTGCACCAGATGGTGTATAATTCAGTCAGTGTATCAGCAGGCTTGTACGGCTTTGGGATCAGCTAAAAACTTCACTAATCTGAAATTCATTAACACAAAGCTAAAGTGCTGTTGAGAAAGCTGTTCTGAGGAGTAATACAGGATATTTCAGAAAGATATTTCCTATATTTCACTTCAGCTAAAAGCCAAATTCATTATTCAGTACCACCACAAGTGATTCCTCGAGTTCGTATAAATTTCCCTTATGGGTATGAGTTACTTTTTTTTTTTTTTCTTGAGTACTGATATTTTATTTTTGGTGGCTAGTCTAAAGGAATTCACTGCAATAGTTGGATAGTATGAACATGTAATTCAGGGCTCAATAGTAAGTTCTGTGTGGACTGATGGCTTCGGGTCACTCTGAGTTGAAAAAACTTTGTTGTGCTGCTCCTAAATCTTACATTATTTGACCTTATACATGTGTTTGACTCGGTGACTTCAACTTGTCACCATGGGTGACATTTACTTTACATTTTTTTTTGTCAAAACAGTGAAATAATTTTCCAGAAAATGTGCCCAAAGTTTAAAATGTTTGCCCTGATTTATGTTTTTGCAGAAACTGTGCTGCATTATTTCCAGGATATTATGATGCATGGAAAGTTCAAAGAACAGCAGTTATTTGGAATAGAAACATACTTTTGTAACGTTGTAAATGTGTCTTTGCTGAAGAAAACGTCTCGGTTACGTTTGTAACCCTCGTTCCCTGAGTAGGGAACGGAGACATTACGTCGGATGACGGAGAATGGGGGTTTGGCCTAGAAAGCCAATCCTCTTCGAGTATTAAAAAAACGAGCCAATGGCAAGAAAATGCCATGGGTCTGCAGAATTTGCATAGTGTAACTCCGCCTCACTTCGTGAGTATAAAAGGAGGAAGCAAACGCAACCGCAGTATGTCTTCGCTGAGGAGCCGAGACTGAACTCAGGCGTCTACCCAGCGGTACAGCGGAAGTGGCAGGGAGACGTAACGTCTCCGTTCCCTACTCAGGGAACAAGGGTTACATACGTAACCGTGACGTTCCCTTTCGTAATCACTCCGAGTTACGTCGGATGACGGAGAATGGGGTCCCCCGTGTAATCACGCCACCTTCACAGCTATCTTCCAGTGCCCTGTGAAAGTCTGATCCCCTGTCGTGAAAACTAGCACGGACGAGGAGTCCTACTTAACACAGGAATACCAAGGTACACTGGGGAGCATATCCCATAGGAAATATGCCGCAGTACGCCTACCCATAGGGAGGACTTAGCAATACACATATGGCCCGGGGGGCTTCGTATGGAGGAACACTGGAGTCACCAACCCGTAGGGTGGCTAGAATCTTAACTCCAGGGGTGGCAAGGTGGCTTGCCGATGCTCAGAGAGGCTTACAGTGGAAATACACATGCAGGAACCATCTTACTAGCAGGAACTAGCAGGAACCATCTAAACGGAGGCACCTCGCCGACGCCCAGGCAACAGACACTGGCGTCAACATCAACAGTGCTGGAGGAATTCAGGGCTTCAATAGAAGGCTCAGCTGAGAAAAAATCACACTTACCCAGTCATGGAGGGGAATGGCGAGCAAGCGAAGACACCTGAGCGGGTCCAGTACTGGCCGGGTGAGCGAGGACAAGAGAGGACACAGGCTCCACTCGGAGATTATAGAATCTAGTGAATCTGTTGGGTGTCGCCCAGCCTGCAGCTCTGCCGCTAGAGCCCAAGAGGAAGCCACACTCCGGGTGGAGTGGGCTGTCACACCAAGAGGGCACGGTCGACCTTGCTGCTGGTAAGCCAAAGCAATGGTGTCCACTATCCAGTGAGACAACCTCTGCTTTGAGAGAGCCCTTCCCTTCAGGCTCCCACCATAACAGACAAAGAGCTGGTCTGAGGTCCTGAAACACCACGTTCTGTCTACGAAAGCACGGAGGGCGCGTACTGGACAGAGCAGTGCCAAGGCTGGGTCTGCCTCCTCCAGGGGCAGTGCTTGCAGGTTCACCACCTGGTCCCGGAAGGGAGTGGTAGGAACCTTGGGCATATATCCAGGCCGGGGTCTCAGGATCACGTGAGAGTAGGCCAGCCCGAATTCCAGGCACGCTTCGTCAACGGAGAATGCGTGCAGGTCCCCTACCCTCTTGATGGAGGCCAGTGCAACCAGGAACGCTGTCTTAACTGACAGGAACTTAATCTCGACTGATTGCAGAGGCTCAAAGGGAGGCTTCTGCAGGTTGCTTAAAACCACTGAGAGGTCCCAAGAGGGTACGAGATGAGGGCGAGGAGGATTCAATCTCCTCGCTTCTCTCAGGAACCTGATGATCAGGTCGTGCTTCCCCAGGGACTTACCTTCAACTGCTTCGTGATATGCGGCAATGGCAGCCACCTTCAGGGTGGAGGGAGACAGCCTTCGCTCCAACTCTTCTTGCAGGAAGGTAAACACGACACTGATCGAGCATCTCCGGGGGTCTTCTCGGCGAGAAGAACACCAGTTGACAAAGAGGTTCCACTTCAACACATAGACGTGTCTCGTGGACGACGCTCTAGCGGAAGTGATAGTAGCCGCCACAGCAGGTGGCAGGGTACTCAAACCTGCCTCGACCCGTCCAGGAGCCACACATGTAGCCTCCATAGATCGGGGTGAGGGTGCCACAGGTTGCCCCGTCCCTGAGA